GGAGGCCCCCGCAACTCGGAGCTCTGAGACGCCGCGCTCGAGGTGGTCCGGTCCGTTTCGCCTGAGACTTCCTCGCAGCACGTTTCGCCTGAGACATCGTCGCAATTCTGGGGTCCGAAATGCCGCGCGCGAGGTGGTCCAGCCCGTTATGCTGGAGACATCCTCGCAACTCTGGGCTCCGAGATGCCTTTCGGGATGAATAGGAGGTGGACGAGGAGGAGGAGGAGGAGGAGGAGGAGGAGGAGGAGGCATGTTTTAACATGCCATGCCAGCCCGCACTGGACAGGCACGCAATCGACCCTGGAAACCGCAGTGGGTCTAAAAACCTTGTTTGGGGATACTGCACTCCGGCTATAATGTTATTTTACCTTGGACAGTCGCGCTACTCTTTATCTCATCGGCGCCGCCCCCAGAAACCTTAACGCTCCCGCTCGAGACTTCCTCCCTTTTTTACTCAAGGCGGTGCTCTTGCTCGCCGCCGACAGCCCCCGTCCCGACAAAACCAGCGCTCCCGCCTGAGACGCTCTCCCGTTTTACGCTGGACTGGCGCTCTTTTCTCCTCTTCCTCCTCCTCCTCCTCCTCGTCCTCTTCCTCCTCCTCCTCCTCCTTTTCCTCCTCCTCCTCCTCCTCGTCCTCCTCCTCCTCCTCCTCTTCCTCCCGCCTCCCCCCTCCCTCCTCTTCCTCCCTCTTCCTTCCTCCACCCCCTCCTCCTCTGTCTTCTCCCTCCTCCCTCCTCCGTCCCTCGTTGCCTCCTTCCTCCCTCCCCCCCTCTCCTCCCTCTCATCCCCCTCCTCGTCCTCCCTCCTCCTCCTCCTCCCTCCTCTTCCTCCTCCTCCTCCTCGTCCTCCTCCTCCTCGTCGTCGTCCTCCTCCTCCTCCGACCTTTCCCCTCTTTCTTCCTCCCTTTTCCTCCCTCCACCCCTTCCTCTTCTCCCTCCTCCCTCCACCCTCTCCCGTCCCTCTTTCCTCCCTCCTCCTCCTTCCTCCTCCCTCCCCCTTCCCCTTGCGTCCCCATTCCCTCCCCCATCCTCCCTCCTCCCTTCCCCTTTCGCCCTCCCTCGTCACTCCCTTTTGATACTCTCTCACCTTTTACTCAAGAGTGGGGCCCTCGTTTCGGCATCGCCTGTGGGGGGCTTCCAAGAGCCCCTGTTGAACCTCAATTATTCAATAGTTATCATTTTTGGAGAGCAAAGATAATGTGGAGGAGCCTGAGAAGAAGGAGGACGGATGACTCCCAGGGGCTCCAAAGATCGAGGGTCGAAGGATTGACTCCAGGGATTCCTTGACACGGTGTGGAGGGGCAGGTGGAGGATGCGAGCATGGGAGCGGCAGCTCCTGGGGGCGTGAGCGTTCAGGGTCACGCGCCAAGGCCGCAGGATGGTGGCGTAACGTTTCGAACGAGGAGCAGGAACCACCTCGTCCTCGGAGTTGCTGCTAATACGACTACCCCTCCTTCCTCCCCCTCTTCCTCCTCCTCCCTCCTCCTCCTCCTCTCCCCCTTCCTCTCCCTCATGTACCCCCCTCCCCTCCTCGTCCTCCTCCTCCGAGATGTTGGGCGCGCGCAAGGCGATTGCGATGGCGATGTGCCGCCCGAGCTGTGGATATCGACATTATGCGGAAGAGGTTGTGACGACATGTTCTTGGGCGGGAAATCTGGGCGAGGGAATGCCGGACCCCGCATGCGAGAAACGCCCCCCGCGGAGGGGTGCGGCATCCAGAAGGATACATGTGGCATGTGGAAGCACGGCGCAAGATGGTAAACGGATTGTCGTTGTCGTCGTCGTCCCCCCCGCGACCCAGCTACGACGAGCGCGCGACCCACCCCGCGACCCACCCGCGACCCGCCCCGCGACCCAACCGCGACCCACCCGCGACCCACCCCGCGACCCGCTCGCAACCCACCCGCGACCCGCCCGCGACCCACTCGCGACCCAACCGCGATCCACCCGCGACGCACCCCGCGACCCACCCGCGACCCATCGTCGACCCACCCGCGACCCACTTGCGACCCAACCTGCGACCCACCTACAGTGTTTTAGCAAAAAATCGGCGCCTGCGGCGGGCTCGCTGTATAGCTTGAAAAGTTGTGCGCCTGCGGTGGGTCTCTTCGAAGCCTCGCAGACTGCCGGCGTCCCCTCGGCCCCCTCGCTCTTATCCGCAGCTGCGGGGCGCTACATATTTGATACATGGGATGGGCGATGGTCGTGGCACCGCGCGGAAACGAGTGGATGCCCCTTCTTCGGTGGAAGAAGGGATTTAGCTTCTAGCTCACAAAAATAGAGTTCCATGCCGTGCAGATTCCAGGGTGGAGTGCACGCAGAGCATGCGCCATACCACATATGAGATGCCTGTGTGATGCGAGCCACGTGGTGCGGCCTTTTTTTGTGATGCGACCTGCAGGGTGCAGTGCTCGTGGTTGTTCTCTGGCGCTCAACCTAGCACGACGCAGTGGGCACAATGTCGCGGCCACGCCCGCCAGGCACGGGTGGCCTCCGCACGATGGCCCTGACACAGCAGCGCGCGGGGCGGCCACGCGGCCAGGCACGCGCGCCCAACTAACGAAAACCCAGAGCAGCCAGCAGATACAAACAAATGCCCAAGGGGCGCCAACAAGCACAAGAGGCCGCCAACGGGCGCCAGCAAACACAAAAAGCTGCCAGGACACTGCCAAGGAGAAAACCTAGAGAGCATGGCAAGCGCACAAGGGCGCCCGCGAGACGCCCACGGTCGTCCACCAGGCGAAAGCCCAGGAGACCCATGCCAGCGCGCGGGGCGCCAGCGAGGCGCCCACGGGTGCCCACCGTGCAAGACCCCGAGAAGCCCAGCAATATGTTAGACAGTTGAGCAAGAGAGCGATTAGTGCAAGCAATGTTTGCGGAATGATACGTGTTCGCCAACGCGGGCTCCAAGCAAGGAGTTTGTGCACCATGGGTATGCGATCCATGCGGGCGAGTTTATGTGGTGATATATTCGGTGTGAAAGCTATGTGGTTGAAGTAGGGTTGAGTGTTAAACGCCGTTAACTCCAATGATCGAACGAGCATCCCACCAACCTACCTTCACTTTGCTTGCAGTAATCAATCGGCCTTGAGTGCAGGTATTCATTGGTATATCTTAGTTTGTTACAACGTGCGCAAACGACGCTCGGACCCTTCCCATGGATAACCATGGCTCGGGCGCGCGAGTGTTAACGATGCCGGGGGGGATCACAAATAGTGCGTTTGTAAGCTGTTTCCCGATCTGTACATTTATAGTATATATATGTGTATGTATACACACATATATATATATATGTGTGTGTGTGTGTGGGTGAATGTCTGTACGCGCGTGTGTAAGCCAGCGTGGACCCCAAACAGTGATCTCTTGTAACCACTGCGGCGCATTCAATGTAGTGCAATCGAGGTTGTGCATTCCATGTGGTGAACCTTACGCGCGGTGGAAAAAAACAATGCGACGCAATGCGAAACATTGCGAAACAATGCGAAGCAATGTGCAAGCCAATGTAACAGCGGCGGCGATGGGGCGCAGTTGCCAGCCGCGACGGCGGCGGCGACGGGCGCGGCGAAGGGGGGCAACGAGCCTGCCGGGGCGACACTAGAGCTCAGTCCAATTAGAAGGCAAGTCAGAACCCCGAAGTGCAAGCTCTGTGCGTTCCCCAAACAGTGCTTGCACTTCTGGGGCTCTCACCTGCGTTTGTTGGGCAGGGTTCCCGAGAATTCGCCACGTTCTAGCTCGTTCCCGCCCCGTTGCCGATTACACCCTTCCTGTGGGGGGGCCCAGGGATTCGGCATGTTCCGGCCCGTTCCCGCCGGTTGCTGGCAGTTGCCGCCTACGGGGTGCCACCTGCGGGGGTGTCCAGAGGATCCGCCCCGTTCGAGCCTGTTGCTGGCCGTTGCCGCCTGTGGGGGTTGGGGTGTCCCGAGGATTCGCCAAGTTCGCCGCCCGTTGCCGCCTGCGGGGGTGTCATCTGTATTTGCGCTCCGAAAAACGACCGCAGACACGCGGATGCATCACGTGTTGCGGCTCGCTGACAGCGTGCACCCCTAACAGTGAGATATGGAACTGTGGATGTGGAAGCTATGTGGTGTACAAGCGACTCTGCGATCGTTTTTCGAAAGGCAAATATGCATCGGGACACCCCCGCAGGAGGCAACGGCTGGCAACGAGCGGCAACGGGCCAGAACACGGCGAATGCTCGGGACGCCCCCACAGGCGGCAGAGGCCGGCAACGCGTGCGCACCGCAATTTAGTATGTCATAAGGGGCGACGGCGATAAGGCCTGGCTGGTGTAATATGATTTCCTCGCAGTTCATGTGTCGGATGAGCGGTTCTGCAGAATAAGTATGCAAGAATTGGGCGTGCCGCGGAGGGAACTTGTTATGCTGGGCTCGGCATGGGGATAGAGTCTTGTCGATTCGGTGGGTAAAGAAGAGACTGTGTGATGCAGGCCATGCCATTCCGTATATTTGGCCTGTGGGCGCCGCCACGGGGCGAGAAGCTTGGGGGCCCACGTCGGCGCACGCACCTCCCATGGGCGTCCACGGGCGGCCGCCGGCAGCCAGCGCGCCAGGGGTCTCGGGAGGCGCCTGCGGGCGGCCACGGGCGGCGACGGAGCGAGCCGCCAGAGGCGACAGGCAACTGTTCATGGCAGAAGCAGGGTCCAGGTGCAAGCAGCGGGTGGGGGGACACTCAGTGTGTACTGCGTGTGTGTGCGTGGGGTGTGAGTGTGGTGGGTGTGGTGTATGGTGTGCTTGTGTATGGGTCTGGGCCGTTTTTCGCTCGCGCGCGCCCCCCTCGGCGACCTTGCTACGCCCTGTCACTGCGCGCGGGGCCACGACGCCAAAAAGTGCGTTCGGGCCTTGCCAGGTGTTCCTCACAGTAGCAGCTTGACCGGACATCAGACTGAGAGCAAGAAACAGGACGCACGGGAGAGAGGAGCCGCAACCTATCGGCAAGGCAGCAGCCCAGCAAGTGACTTTCACAACCTGGTGCCCACATGAGTGTTCGGCGGACACGTCTACCAACACGACCAACACGACCAACTCGACCAACTCGACGGCCAACCTCACGGTCTGCACCAGGGTTCAGTACAGCACGGTTTGGCCCACTGATAACCTCCACGACATGTGCACGATCGGCGAGCTACATTGCGGCCACGTCCACGCAAGTGCCGTAGTGTTGCTAGGCGAGCTCAAGGATTCTGCCGACGAGATCAGAGACAGGATGGCAACCGACGCCGAGCACGCACGGGAAGCGAACGAAGAGATCGACCTCCAGCTGCAGCTCCTTCACCAGTCAAAGGGCGAGCTCAGCAGCCAGCTCGCCGAGGCCGCCTCGTGACTCTTTGGATCGGAAGCGCAGGCATGTGCGTTGCATCTTTTATGTCTTGCATGTTTGTGGGGAGCGCAGAAGATACCGATACCGCCACTCCCCGGACCTCTCCTGGGGTGCGATCTGACCAGAGTTCCGAGGCGAATCCAGCGGGAGCGACGAGGGCCTCCCAGGACGCCCCCAAATGGGAAAGCGAGCGAAGGGTAGAGGTATGGGTATCTGTTCCTCCTCTGAGCTTGTGTTACTGTGTGTGTATGTCAGCGTGTGTGCGTGCTTGTCACAGACGGTGCCGAGGCAACCTCGAGGCTGAACGCCGTGGAGGAGCAGGTGGCCCACGCGGCCGCCGAGGCGCAGGCCCTGCAGCTGGAGGCGGGGCGGCGGCGCAGCGAGCACGAGAGGCTCAAGGGAGGCAAAACCACCCGGACCGGACAGTTGGCGTTTACTGAACGGCCTTGGGCGTTTAGTGAACAGCCTTGCCCTGTTCGATTCCTTCTCTGGGCGCGGTTACGAAAGGCCTCGCGCGTCGGGGTGATTGTTCTCCGGGGGGGTTTTCGGCCCTCGAGAGGCGGGAGCACGACCTGCTGAGCAGCCAGGTGTGCAGCATGCGCCAGCTGCGCTCGGCCACGGTCGCCGAGAGCACGACCGTCGTGGAAGACGACATCGTCGATTGTGAGGCTCGCCACGAAGAAATCACAACAAATGATAATACACAAAAAATCAAAACAAAACAAAAAACGAGGAAAGCGGTCCCTGGAGGGCGGGCGGGCGCCCTTGATGCTGCTCTCTGCTTCTCGGCTCCGAGGCCATCCCCAGCAGGCATCGGGGCCGTCGAAGCCATCCGGGGTGGAGGTTTGGCCTCGCTGCAAACCTTGGGGCCCACCTGGGCCCGTCTTCTCATGCCGATAGTCCGAGGCTGGAATTTATACATGACCACCGCTTGGAGGATCAATTTTCGGGGACCTCGACAGGCGGTGGATATGGATAGATTCGGGCCCCCGGGGCCAAAATATATCCATACCCACCGCCCGCTGGGGCACCAGGACGTCGGTTTCCAGGCGGTGGATATGGATACATCCCCGCTTCGCAGAGAGGTCTCCGACTGGGAGCCTGGCGAGTGCTCCCTCGAGTGCGACGACAGTTGCCCCGCCTGGGGCAGCGACGCGAAGCCTTGCGGAGGCGAGAGAACAATGACCCGGCAGGTCTCGGCAACAAGAATCTAGACAGTGACTGAGCCGTGGATTGTTCGTGGGCTTCAGGGGAGGGTGGCGGTGTATAAATCGCCATTGAGGGCCAGCGACTTAGTACACCGCCACCCTCCCTGAATGCACAGGGAACTCTCGTAGGCGGATGTCGTTGAACAGATTGACGCGGCGTAAGGTAATACAGGAGGCAAGCGAGTACGGCGTGCAGTGCCCGCCCCTGCAGCAGGTGATCCCGTGCAGCCAGGTGCGGTGCCCCGTGGACTGCCAGATGTCGGAGTGGTCGGGCTGGTCGTCCTGCACGCGCCACTGCAACGGGGGCGTGCGGCAGCGCACCCGCAGCGTGCTCCAGGAGCCGAAGAACGGCGGCGAGGCATGCGACGCCGTCGAGGAAACGCAGCCCTGCGGCACGGGCGCGTGTGCCGCGGCCTGCGAGCTGGCGGAGTGGACGGAGTGGTCCGCGTGCTCAGCAGCGTGCGGTACTGGCTACCAGCAGCGGTTCCAGTTCCCGCGCGCCCCCCACCAGTGCCCCGCCGACAAGAGCGAGGGCCACCAGGAGGCGCAGGAGTGCACTGAGGCCACCTGCCAGGGCGACGAGGCGTGTATCGCCAAGCAAGACATTGTCGTCGCTGTCGACAGCAGTGGCTCGCTGACCGCAGAGGAGTTCGCGAACGTGACGTCTTTCACAAGTGCGCTCCTCGGCAAATTCAACGGCACCGCCTACGGCCAGAACGCCTCCCGCATAGGCGTTGTCCAGTTCGGCAACGGCGAAATCTACGGCGTGGACCAGACTCCCACAGATGCCATCAAGGTGCTGGACTTCAGCACGGACAACAACACCATATTGGCGGCCGTGTACGGCCTTCAGCAGCAGTCGGGATTCGCGAACTCGGCGCAGGCGATGGCCCTCGCGGAGACTATGCTTGACGAAGGTGCCGGCGACAGCGGCCGGAACAGGATGTTGCTCATGGTGGCCGCAAGCACCCCACCCTTTCAGCGCCAGAGCCAGCTGAAGGCTCGCGAGCTGTCGAGGAAGGGCATCCGGGTGTTCTTCGTGACCGTCGCGGATTCGAGCAGGGGCGCCGAGGCGAGGGCGGCCAAGGATGGGACAGCGACAGTTGTACACACCGACGCCCGTCCTTGCCGGGCCCATCTGGTGCCCAAGGTCGTCGCGTACTCTGCCGCGGCCAGGCTTACGTCGGGCATGTCCCTCTACAGGAGGAGTATTCAAAAATAGTAGAAAGATAGTTTGGGGACGATTTTCGATAACTTGTTTAAACATTACTTTTTGAACATCTTTGAAATATGTTCGGTTTTCCCTGCAAGATCCGCCTGTAGGAGGACATGACCGACCTAAGGCTAGGCAAGGAAGGCGTAAGTACCGACCCTGGGTCCCAGGGTTGTGGACTGGCCTGAACTGGTGTCGGTGTATGAGCTGTTGCCGTCCCAACGAGGAGATGGCGACCGCGCCCACGCTTGCAAACTTTGTTCACGTCGCCTGGCACGACATGGCCACCGAGCAGTCCGCCTATGTGAGCTCGGCCCTAGCGGCCTCGTGCTCTCTCGCCGAGTCGCCGACCCTAGTCGCGGAGGAGATCAGGGGCAACGTTTGGGTGTGGACAGGCTGAGGGGGAGATGCATCGAGCCCCAATCGCCCACTCATCGCCGATAGAGCCCAGATGGCCCCACCCCGCCCAGGACCCTGCGGATTCGCTCTCGGGCGCCTATAGCCGATCTATCGGCGATGTATCGCCGATTCCAGCTCGACGCTCCCCCACCCTGAGCCGCTCCCCCGTACGGTGGGTTGGCATCGTGTCAAAGCGGCGGCGACCGCGCCGTGGGCGTTCAAGGTTGAACGCCGGCAGTGGCCCAGAATCGGCTGATCAGGGCTCCAAAGTGGGCTCGAAAGGTCCCTTCTGGGCCTCTCTCTTCACCCCCCCTTCGGGTTCCTCCCCTTACCACCCGCCCGAGGAACGTCAGGGTTTGTGGCAGGTTTGTGTCGTGGCGACCCTCGCTTTGGTTTCTGACACCGCGCGGATCGTTCAACCTTGAACGATCAGCGGATTTTCGATCGCCAGATCGCTCCACATCGCCAGAGTTCCCCCTCAGGAGAACGAGGAGAACGGCTTCGAGCTCCTCCGGCAGGGGCAGGCCTGTAGCACGGGACCCACGCTGCTGGACCGGTACGCCACCGACCCCGCGCACTGCGCCCAGCTGGCCTACGCCGCCGGCGCCACCTACTTCTCCTACGGCACCGGCCCGCACGACGGGCGGTGCTACAGCGAGAATGCCGACGACGACAGTTGCGGGGGCGCTCCGAGGAGGAAAAGGTACCGATACCGCTATCCCTTCCTCGTTTTCGTCTTCTTGGGCCTCCCCGGAGGCCCTCGTCGCCACCCATGAATTCGCCTCGAAGTCTTGGTGAGAACGCGCCCCGGGAGAGGTCCGGGGAGCAGCGGGATCGGCGCACCTCTTGGTTACCCCAGGCGCCTTCTACGCTGCCTACTCGGACTTCTACAAGCTGTCGGCCACGTACACCACGGACGAGAACGCCACGTCGGAGGGCTGAGGTCGTGGGCGCAAGCCAGATCCGCAGCCGCGGCCCCGCGGGCCAGGGCCCTGGGCTGCGACCCCGCGGACGCGGAGCGTTTTGTTCGCGGATGCCCCGCGCGGAACGTACCCGTGCGACCGCGTATCTATGGGCTCGCACCCGAGAATCCAGACCGCGAGGGCGCGGATTCGGAGGCAGTCGAAACCGATAGTAGGGATCGGCAACCTCCCCAATGGTGCCTTTGCATCCTTGCTGCTTCGGTCCATCCTTCGCCACTTTCGATGTCCAGCCCCGCTCGAAAAGCTTCGACATGGGCGTCCAAGGGGCCTGCATCCTTATCGGGCATCCTGACTCCCGGTTTTGACTGCATGTTCGCCGCTCGTGGCGCGGCTCACCCCTGGCGGCCCGCCCGACGGAGGAGCGATGACCCGAGGCGGGGGCGAGGGCGCGGGCGCGCCGGGGCGTTCTCGCAGGCCCGCTGGGCGTGGCAGCTGAGCAGAGAAGGGCGTGAGGCCTGGACACGGCCGGAGGAGGAGGAGGAGGAGGAGGAGGAGGAGGAGGAGGAGGAGGAGAATCGGGGCGAGGAGAAGGATGAGGTCAGATCAGGAAAAGGTATAGCTATTGCTACCCCTCCCTCGTTTTCGCCTTATGGGGCCTCCTGGGAGGCCCTCGTCGCCACCACTGGATTTGCCTCGAACTCTTGGTCAGAACGCACCCTATGAGAGGTCTAGGAAGTAGCGCTATGGGCACTTCTTGGTTTTCTCTAGAGCGGGGGTACGGAGAAGAGCGACGATTTGATAATGAAGGAGGAGGAAGAGGAGGACGGGTAGGATGAGTTGATATCAGTGCCGCAGGAGGAGGAGGAGGAGGAGGAGGAGGAGGAGGAGGAGCACGGGGAAAAGAGGAGCGACGATGAGGAAGCCCCAAGGCATCGGGCGGGTTGGAGGAGAAGGGGGCGGCTAGCTTCTCGTCGTCACAACTTTGGCTTCAGGGGGCCAGTTTCGGGAATCTGGGTTGTCACCAAAGAAACGGCTCGTGATGCAGAGCGTGCCGTTCGGAAGGTCTGCGACCATTTGCGAAGCCGACCCCTATGGGTCCAATCCACGCTGGAGTCTAGGACACCCAGCCCGTTTGTCAGAATTCTGGTCTGCAAGGGGAGGGTTCACATGTGGATGCCTCATTGACCTTTGGAGGTCATATTAGTCATGCCGGGGCCCAATCCGCCAACGCTCTTGGCCTGCAATGGACTCTGCGCCTCCCCCGGTTCGCCATGTCCGCGTCCATTGTCTGTGTGCTCCTCCTCCTCCTCTTCTTCCTCCTCGTCTTCGTTGACAGCGGCGACGCCTGCCGGCGGCGGAATCATTATGTACCGATCATTGTTGGACGTCGGCACCGCTCTATTAGCCCTCGAACAGAGAATATCCGTAAGGGCTTCACCCTCTGCTGCCGTCCCCCTCTCTATCATAATAGGGCATGCAGGAGTTATGTTTGGATGCGTGGGCGCCGCCGTGACGCAAAATTGAAATCTCATGCGAGGGCGATTGGTAATCTTCAAGTCAAGTGAAGTTGAGATCCAGATGATATTGTTGAGCTCTTTGTTTTTTGTTCCGAATTTCCCATACGCCGTGTATTGGAGACCCTCTTTGATCGACTGGGGGCTGATTGAGGCTACGTTGGGCAAATGCGCGCGGCTTGGACGGTCTTTGGGTTCCTCGGAACATCTTACCAAGGACGGTGGAGTCGGGGACGCAAATATAGTGTAATTTGCCAGGGACCTCGGCCTCGCGGGCGCGAGTACTCTGTATCATTTGTAGAAGTGATCGTGGCCTCGGAGACGCGAATATTCACTGATTCACCAGGTATCGTGGTCTCGGATGTATAAACGATCGAAGTCTCGTGGGTGCGATTCTCATGTATCTTAATTGTCCCACGGCCCAGCAGGAATTCAGAGCACGCGGCTTGGGCGTGGTAAAAAGCTGGTTTTGAGGGCTCCCCCCCTCGCGCGGACTTGAACAGTGCACAACATGAAGTAGACAGTAGGGTTCTAAAATGGAAGACTTGAAATTGGAACGGGAGCAGGGAGCAGCAAGCCTCATCCCCGCAGCCTGATGGCCCCACACGGGGCCGGCGGGACACGAGCCTGACCGCTGACGGGCCTGCGAGACAATCCGATCCCCCCCCCGCCATCCAAGCGGAGGAAGCGAGGAGGAGGAGGAGATCCCAGCGCGCAGACCCTATTTCTTCTTTCGCAGCGCCTGCGCAGCGCACCGATGTGCACCTATTCGTTTTGGGGGGGGGTACGGACACACACGTCTCGAGGGGACCCAGAGGCCCGGAGGCCCACGCCTCGTGCAGGCCGACGCGTCGGATGTCCATAGCCCCATGGGGCCACCCGCGCGCGATCGCACGCCGAGGCCGCCGTCGTCGCCGCCACCGCCTTCCGTAGTCGGCGGTGCCTTCGTGCGGCCAGAGAAATTGTTGAGAACCTGTAGGTCAGCAGGAGGCGCGCGAGAAGAGAGTCGCGCTTCGCGCGCCGCGACCTGAGCCAGAGAGCTGCCCTTCTGCGGAGGGGGAGGAGGAGGAGGAGGAGGAGGAGGAGGAGGAGGAGGAGGAGGAGGAAGGACGGGATGCGTTTCAGAAATAATTAACAGAGAATTTACAAACTATTTCCCAAAGAAGTTTCCCGAACATTTTCCGGGAATTACTTGGAAGTACTTTGGGATAGTTTCCGGGGGCGGAGATTTGCCAGAATTTCTCCCTGGCCGGAAATTTATTTGAAATTCTCTAGAAATACTTTGGACTTATTTGTTCCCGAAATCTTCCGGCAATATTTTGGAATTCTTCCGGAGGCTGGAATTGTCTTGTAAATTTCCCAGAAATATGTTGGACAATTGTTGGAGATTATTTTGGGGAATGTCCAGAAATTGTTTGATTTTTTTGTGAGTTTGCGCCTGCTTGATTCCTTGCGCGCTCTATGTCTCGTCGTCTCGTCGTATGTACCCGCACTCCTCCTCCTCCTCCTCCCCCTCCTCCTCTTCCTCCTCCTCCGTCTTGCGCCTGGTCGATCTGCGAGGGCCCCGGGGCGTTTCATCTTCCCGAGTCGTTCTTGACGGTCCCTGGCCCGGCCAGTGTCTCCGAAGGCAGCCGAAAATGTCTTGTGGTGATCATACTTCGCAAGGAGGAAGGATGTCTCTCCACCGGGAGCCTCCCAGATGGGGTCCAAGTTGATGAGATCGAAGTCGCGCCACATCGCCGATGCGTCGGCGATGTGGCTCGATGTGTCGTCGTCGTCGCCGCCGCCGCCGTTGTCGCCGCCGCCGCCGCCGCCGTCGTTGTCGTTGTCGTCGTCGTCGTCGTCGTCGGCAGCGGTGGCGTCGTTGTCGTCGGCGGCGGCGTCGGCGGCGCCCGCGAGGAGCGCCGAGGCCACTGCGAGGCGCCTGCGGCGGGCAGACGAGGAGGCCCAGCGCTTGTGCGCCGAGCTGTACAGCGCCCGCCGGAAGGCAGAGCCGAGGGCCGCGGAGGCACCGCAGGCCGCGGCCGCGGCGGCCGCGGCGTCGCCGCCCTCGTTCAGCCGTCCGTCGGGCCCTCCGGGGGCAGCAGTAGAGGGGGGGGGGGGCGCAAGCTGCTCCCGGTCCCCTAGCCAGGATTCGAATAGAATGTCGACTGCAGAATTGGTTCGCTCCCAACTGGATTCGTTTTTAGAATCCACGACAGATTGGCAGGATGATCGTGGATCTACGAGATGTCGACGTATCCTTTATACGACCAGTTAAATGCTGGGGTACATCAATTTTGCAGTCGATCTCAATCTCCTACTCGAAGGACCCGCGTGATGCCAGAAGTGCCCCTGGCCCAATGTGCCCCCAGGACTTCCAGGAAGGACCCCCCGGCCTCCAGAGTACCCTATCACAAGGCCTAGAGGGCCCCAGGGGCTCCAAAATGAAGCGAAAGCAATGGGCACCTAGGATCACGGGTACCTTTAGCACCCCCCGAAGGATGTGTGGTTACGCAGGGGAGTGGTTTGCGATCTGCGCCGATGTCAGGGAAAACGATGAGTGGGATCGGCTCAGCGGGGAATGCATCGACCTCCACTCGCTCACTGCTCGTCGGTAGGGGTCTGATAGCCCCACCACGCCCAGGAACGTGCGGATGTGCTGTCGGGTGCCTATCGCCAGTATATCGGCGATGTACCGCCGATTCCAGGTCGTTGTTTCTGCCCCTGCGCCAGTCCCCCTCGTTGCCCCGGGCAACTTTGTCTTGTTTTAGGCCCCAGGACCCCCACGCATCGATCGAGCTCGCAAACTGTAGCAGCAAGCTGTGGTCCTGGGCTTCCCGGTTTTTGCTGCGTTGTGGCAAGTTTCTAGTGGTCTTCGGAGGTCTCCGGGACCCGAGACGGTTTCCATCGGCTGCCCGCCGTCACGGGCGTTCCGGGAGGCCAGAATCGTGCCGCACGGCTGCCCTTGGGCGGATGGCAGTGGGGCGTCGTCCCCGTTGGCCACCCGCCCGATGCCGATGCCTGAGCCCCGAGCCCTCGCCCGAAGACATCCCGGGGGAGGGCCCGTGGAGCCAGCGGCAGCCCTCGCCGGCGTGTCGTGCCGTCCTTCCCGG